CTTTCCTAAACAGATGGCTCTGTGATATTTCAGTGTTGTTTCTGTACAGATTTTTCATGTGAATAACAGTTTCTATGAAAACATCTTGTGTTAGGGACAGACTTAGCCCTTTTGAACCCTCTACAGTAAATGAAAACGATTAAAGAACCTTACTTCTTCCAGAGAATAGATAATCACATAGTAGCTTTTTTTGGAATATGTGTGAATTCTTTCTTTAGCCTAACCTGGGTCTAATTACTTACTCCCAAAAGATCCTTAGATTTTTAAATAACAAAGAAAAATCATGACACAGCTTCATGAATAAATCCACTGAAAGCTCACATACTGTGTGTCTATCCAGACTCTATAGAGGTGTGAGGGAGAGAAAGGAATATGGTCAACAAGTCTCACAACTTGTTCAGTAGAATACACTACTTACTCTGAATAAGGATGTCCTACTTCAGAGAGATTGATGTTCCAAATGTTTCCTCTTCTATCAAATGCATGGGACAATGTTTTAGTCAATGCACAGAAATAACCACCATTTGTTTTATATCATATTTGGCCTCTCATAGTCTCACAAATAGAAGTTTCCTTGTTCCTCCACATAAGCAAGCAAAAAGCAATGGCTAACTCATAGGCACTAAATCACTGAGGCTATGAGACAATTTGTATGCTATTCATGAGAGACCTAACCATCCAAAAAGCAGAACCAAAATGTTCCCTCCAAAAACCACCTATTCAGTTCATTTCTACACCTATGTATTTAATTTGCCTCTTCTAATGGTGTTTTGTGGGACTCTAAAGAAAGAATTGTGATACAGGGGGATGTTTTATTCTTACTTCTGTCCTCCCAGTGAGGAAAGAGGCTGTTTAGGTTTTCCTCTGTCCATTTTTTTTTTTTTTTTTTTTGGTTGTGGGGCTTGAACTCTGGGCCTGAGCGCTGCCCCTCAGCTCTTTAGCTCAAGGCTAGCGCTCTACCACTTGAGCTACAGCGCCACTTCCGGTTTTCTAGTGGTTTATTGGAGATAAGAGTTTCACGGACTTTCCTGCCCAGGCTGGCTTTGAACCGCGATCCTCAGATCTCAGCCTCCTGAGTAGCTAGGATTACAGGCGTGAGCCACCGGCGCCCGGCTTCCTCTGTCCATTTTTACGGGAACAGTGATAATAATTGCTTTGGAAGGCATCTTACTCTTCATGTCTGCCATAAGAAATACTGGGTAAAACAGTTTATGAACATTTAAGACGTAATCAGCTCTCCAAACCCTTTTCTGCAGACAAGCCACTGAAGGATCAAAAATAGAATAAGACTAAGTAACATTTAGACAAAAAGCACCTACCTGGCACTTCCATTAAAAGCAATTTACAGGATTTAACCCCATGGGTTTGTAAATGGTATCTAAAGACATAAATATTGAAAACCTGGAATGTTCAAAGTTACTATCAATAAAATTCTTAGCACTGGCAGTGTATAGCACTTTAAGAAAAGCAAAGCATCATATATGTTTCTCAACAACAAAGAACGTTTTCGTTTCTCAACATTGTTTTGAGATTAATGTCCTCCCGCCTTCCCCCCCAACTCCCATTTTATCAATGGTGACATTTGGGCAGGAAAAAAACAAAGACTTTCTGTAAGAAAGGATGAATCTAGAATAGCTGAGGTTGAAACTCAAGAATTCCTGCTCCCACCCTATATTCAGATGTTCTGATTTAAAAGATATGTAAAAATTAAAAGAAAAAATACTGCCATATCAGTAAATCTAAATGTAAGAATGTCTTCATCTCCCATCTTCCCCTCTGAAAGGCACTGCTATTTATAAAGGCTTTGTGAAGCACAAAGCATGAGGCCAGATCTCTCCTCTGCCCCTCCTCTCCCCCTTACATTGTCTATGGCTGGGGAGACCCGAAGGACACCTCCAACATTACAATTTATTTTCTTAAATATCTTTTAACCACATTCATCTGTAAGTGGATATAAATCTATTTAATCTGAAACAAATGTAAAAGATGCAAGAAATGAGTATACTTCTTACCAGGGATCCTGGGTTGTCCCTGATCTTTTCCTTCTTTCGCTACCCAACCTGACAACACTAGACAGAACAACTCTAAACCCTAAGCAATTGATGTGAGACAAGACACCTGTCAATGAAACCAGCATTTGTTTTTCCTATTTCATCTGGAAATGTAGTCCCGCTGAGAGCTACCATAATTATAGTAGAAGTGAACTATTTTCTTTGCTTTCCCCCTCTTCTCTCCTGATAAGAGAAAAGCCTCTTATCAAAACAGATTGGTACAAGGGAGTGATAGATCCCCTATTCTCTCTCCCCACCCCCCATATCCCACCACAGCTGCCCAAATAGCAACTTCAACTCCTATCCAAGTCCCATCTCCAAGCATTTCCAGTTATTCTAGTTTCTTATGGATAATTCTTGAATGAATACCATTAGCTTGTCTTTGTTGGAAGGGACCAGGAGTTCTGCAGATAGAGAGCTTTCCTATTCAATTTCTTTGTTATCAAACTATATACAATATACCCACCATCTTTCAGGGTTTCTTTTAAGTTCCTGCTAGTCTAACGATTGTACTTTGGCTCCAGTTAACATCAGACAGCTTCTCTTTTTTTATATCCCTCCTTTCCTGTCTTCCCCAATGTGGGCATTCCATGCAGCCCTACATCTGGATTATCACCCACATCACCCTAACTTTGACGTCCAAGCTGATGTGAAAGCTTTGGCTCTGACTCACATTCTGTCATCTTTCTACTACCCCACAGCATGATTTCAATACCACCCTTCTTCCACATGGTACTAGGTCCTGTCTTACTCTAGCCTAAACTCAGCCTGTCATAATTATTCTGAATGACTCTGCAGGAAGCTGTTTAGTCAAGTCTGCAATGGACAGAGTAGAACTTGCCAAGCCACATGTTGCAGGTCGTTAAGACTCCTCAGAGCCTCCAATGTAGCCCATGACAAGTCCTATGTACTGGGCTTTCTGCTTTTATGCTATATGATATAACAAAAGTATGCTCACTGAAAGGGTTTTTAGCAAGCATCATATAGTATTCTGTTTGTATACATATCATGGTGTTAGGGTGAGAGAGCCCTGAGGGAGGGAGGCTTGATGATCCAGGGCCATTTGAAAACTAGGAAACCACACAAAGTCAGTTTCTACATATTTGGTTAATTCCGAAAGTACTAAGTGCTATCTAGTCTTATTGCTTGTACTTTCTACTAATTTATTAATCTATAATCTTGGAGAGGATGAAATGAAGTATGGGTGAGAAATCTGGCCTTGAAACCAAAGGAAAAGAATGATGAGCATGTTCAATTCTCCATTTCTACTGTGGAACTGAGTGTTTTTCTAGGCTACATACAGTTCAGGCTTAGTTTCCACCATTTTCTCTTTCATTTAAATAAGTTTGCAGTTCTGCTTCCATGCATTCTCTGCTTGCACCTCGGTGCTGCATGATTTAAATTTTCCCAATCCCCTTCATAGGAGAAAAGCAGCATCATTAAACCTGATCTGAACAAACCCCGAAATTTGGGAGTATCATTTGCACAAAAGCAATCTATAAAACACATTCTAGAACACAAAAGATGGATCATGTAGAAACACCCAAGAAGAAGAACTCCTCTCTATCTTCTAAACCCTCCCCCCAACTCCCAAACAAAACAAAACAACAACAAAAACCATGAAATGCCCAGGTTTAACCTTTTTCCCCACCTATGGAAGGGCAGTTAATAATCTTATAAGGAGAATATACACCAGAAAGCAGCATTGGTCTTAAAATACACTTGGTCCTTTCTGTCCAAAGAAGTCTGGGCGGCGGAGTGGTGATAACTATTGCAGTTAAGCAAGTTGGTTAAGACTTTGCTAGGATGATGGATCAGGTTTCTCCATGGCTTCAAAAAAGGACTTAGGACCAGGCCTTTAAAAGGCTTATATGGCTGCCTCCTTTAAATAAGTACCCCATACTTCATGAGGGGTCATAGATAAAGCAAGCCAACTTTCTGAAGACTGTAGTCTACAGTGTAGAAGACACCAGAAAGTGTTGATACCTTGTTGATAGGAACTGTAGGAAAAGTTTCTGTTTGCCCTTTTGTAAGAACCTGTAATGATCATTTCCCTATTTCAAGCCAGATGTAGACATAAAAATAACCCACAACTCTTACTAGATTTGGACTTATTTCCTGGCAGGCTTTCTTGCCAGATGAGCTCTGAGCTGCCAGTGAATCCAGGGGCAGCATTTCCTATATAAACTTATCTTAATCAAATAACCCATGACCCAGAGTGGGGGAAGGGGTATTCTTATTCACAGATTGTAAAAGGGTAACATTGCTTTCTCTTAATGCACAGGTTCTGGTAAAAGATTTCTATACAAGATTTATAAAATGTTCTAAAAAACTTTTCATCTAATTGTGCTTAGTCAAAACAATGTAATGTTTCAGTCAATAAATTACTGTCTTAACTAGAGCACTCGAAGTTATTTAGGATTGGTTTCATATATAACTCTATATTATAAAACTCTGAAACCTGAATGAGACCTATTATACTGTATGTTTATGCATCCTATTAAGAAACTATATCTAAGTCTTCGAAACCAGAATAATTGACATCTTTGTTAAATAGAACTTTTCTTTTGCTTAAATTTTCAGCAAAGTCAGAAACATTTTACGTCCCCACCCCCTATAGTGAGTTTAAGGTGTTTTTTTTTTTTTTTCTACTTAATCACTCATTTTGGAATGTACAATTAAAGTTTTGTAACAGATAATAATCTTATTACCATTGCCCTTTCTTCTAATACTTGCTGTGACTCTGTGTTTATTTCTTCACACTGACCTTCTGGAAAGCCCCTAGCTTTAGAGTGACCCTGACTCACCATGGACGAGGTTTAAGAGGGCGCTTCTCAATCCAGAGAACCACACAGAGGAAAGGAAGGGAGAGAGTTATGTACAGACACATCCAGTCTTCCTTTGGTTCACACCACACTTCCAGGTGAAACCGCAGGGACTGGGAGACGGCTATGTTCCTTGGTTCACCCGGTTCACAATGTAGCTCTTGACATTGGGAACAGGCCGTACATCATTCTGGTGCTTGCGGCGTTCTATGAAGCACGCCAGGCGGGAGGTGTCCAGGGGGATCTTGGAGTAGCTGCCATTGTGAGGCTGTAGCCACGGATGCTGCAGGCAGGTGGCTGCCGTTGGCCGTCTCCGGAAGTCTTCCTGTAAGATCACGTTGATGAAGTCCCTGGCAGCATTGCTCACACCGCAGAAGTATTCCTGGGGGAAGCTGAAATCCACTCTGCAGACATTGATACATGTCTCCTCTTTGCTCTCATCTAAGAAAGGGGATACCCCACTGAGCATGACATATGTCAGAACCCCGATGCTCCAGATGTCTGTGCCCAAAGAGACAGGGATGCCTTGGATCACTTCTGGAGCAGCAAACTCGGGGTTCCCCAGCAGGTGGTGGATGTGGAAGTGGCCTGAGATCTGGACAGCATCCTCCAAGTCAATAAGCTTCACTCGAGGCACTGGAATCCGGAGGTCAATGAGCAGGTTTTCAGGCTACAGGGACCAAGGGAGGCAGGGAGAAGAGAGGGCATGGCTATTTGATTAAGACAGATTCTGTAGCTGACACACATCCTTTCTGCCCCTGGATTCACTGGCAGCTCAGAGTTCAACTGCCAGGAAAGCCTGCCAGGAAATAACTCCAAGTGCAATAAGAGTTGTAGGTTATTTTCATGTCTATACCTGGCTTAAAACAGGGAAATGAGTATCACAGGTTCTTACAAAAGGGCAACTTGAAACCTTTCCTACAAGTCTGTTTTGATTAATAGCAGAAAATTATATTAAACATGGCTATGTAGCCAGGTTCTGATGGCTCATACATGTAATCCTAGCTACCCAGGATGCTGAGCTATGAAGATCACAGTTCACAGTCAGATTGGGCAGACAATTCCAAAGGACTCTTAACTCCAATTAACAATCAAAAAGCTAGAAGTGGAGTTATGACTCAGCCAAGTGAGAGCAAGAGGCTTTGAGTTCAAGTCCCAGTACCAACACACAGGCATATATGTGCACACACACATACGCATGGACTGCTTTTCTTTTTCTTTTTTTTTTTTTGGGGGTCCGGTTGTGGGGCCTGAAGTCTGGGCCTGGGCGCTGTCCCTCAGCTCTTCAGCTCAAGGCTAGAGCTCTACCACTTGAGCCACAGCGCCACTTCCGGCTTTTTCTGCTTATATGGTGCTGAGGAATCGAACCCAGGGCCTCAGGCATGCAAGGCAAGCGCTCTACCACTGAGCCACCTTCCCAGCCCCGACTGCTTTTCTTTGATGACCCTATAGCATATAGGAAATGCCTTCAACAAAGTGTATAGGAGCTTCAAACTATGAATTTGAACTCATTAGACTCTAAACTTGCATATATTTCCGAAAAATCATTTGGCATTGAAAATTGGGGCTTCTGGGTTTTGTTTTTGTTTTTCTTTTTTGTGCTGGACTCAAACCTAAGGCCTTGTGCATATTAAGCAGAGGCTCTACCACTGAGCTACACCCCAACCCTGAATATCATGTCTTCATAACTTCCCTTTGCTTCATCAACTCAAGAAAAGATGGAATTGTCCTTTGGAGAACAAAAAGCTGTCTAAGCAGCATGAAAGCGGAGGAGACATTAATTGGCTTCTTCTAGAAAAGCAAACAAAGTAGAGCCTATCGCTTTCTCTCACTCTCTAATGCCATCCTGTGTCTAGTGTGTTCTCATTCATTCATGAGTGAGGCATTGTGTGACAATGCCTGGTTTCTCTGATAGTCATATAGATTCTAGTTTTAGTAAATAAAATGAATTCAAATGTTTGTTTCTCAGGATAATAACGGGTAAGTCAGACGCAGCTGGGTCGGTGCCACACTTTCCAGTTTTATTACCTTTATGTCCAAATGTGCAACCCTGCAATTGTGAAGGTACTGCAAGGCTTCCATGATGTCCCGGATATAGAAAGCTACTTTTTCCTCCATCAGTTCATCATGATTCATAAGGTAGTCTAAAAGTCGGCCATCATCCATCCTGAAAATGGGGAGGAAGCAGCCAAGGAATGTTTTTTAAGAAATAGAAAAAGAACACATGCACAAAGCTTTAAAATCTCCAAGATCTCTCTTAGTTATAGATGAAGAGCAATGTTTGAAACCAAAATAAATAAAGCTACAAAGGTGTTAAGTTTCAGGGAAGAAATCTTTAGTCTTTTTTATTTTTTTCTTTTGGTTAGTCATGGGACTTGAACTTGAGGCTTGGACACTGTCCCTGAGCTCTTTTGTTTAAGGCTAGTGCTCTACCACTTTGAACCACAGCCTCGTATCTGGTGTTATGGTGGTTAGTTGGAAATAAGAGTCTCATGGACTTTCCCCCAGGCTGGCTTTGAATCGTGATCCTCAGATCTCAGTCTCCTATGTAGCTAGGATTATAGGGATGAGCCACCAGCGCCTGGCTCTTTTATAGTCTTGTTTAAGAAGCATTGTTTTGTTCACTTTTAACTTTTATTGTTCACAAAGAAAAAGGTGTGACATCACTTTAATGGATTAGATTGCAAAATAAAACAACCCTTCATCAAGAAAGACATCAGCTGGGCGCTGGTGGCTCACGCCTGTAATCTTAGCTACTCAGGAGGCTGAGATCTAAGGATCGCGGTTCAAAGCCAGCCTGGGCAGGAAAGTCGTGAAACTCTTATCTCCAATAAATCACTAGAAAACCGGAAATGGTGCTGTAGCTCAAGTGGTAGAGCGCTCACCTTGAGCTGAGAGCTGAGGGACAGCGCTCAGGCCCAGAGTTCAAGCCCCACGACCACACACACACACACAAAAAAGAAAGATATCAGCCATATTCTGACTAATCAGAGCCCTTTGCCTACAAAGCAGTCTTACATGAATTTAGCATATCGTTTTTTGTCTTTTTTTTTTTTTTTTTTAGACTAGGGTTTGAACTCTTGAGTTTCACACTTGCTTGACTTGCTGGCTCAGCTGCCTACTGTCACATGAGCCATGCCACCAGCCCTGCTTTTTGCTGGTTATTTTGGTGATGGATTCTAGTTAGAAGGGAAGACTTAAAATATATATATATAGGGCTGGGAAGGTGGCTCAGTGGTAGAGCGCTTGCCTTGCATGCATGAGGCCCTGGGTTTGATTCCTCAGCACCACATAAGCAGAAAAAAAAGCCGGAAGTGGCACTGTGGCTCAAGTGGTAGAACGCAAGCCTTGAGCTGAAGAGCTGAGGGACAGCGCCCAGGCCCAGAGTTCAGGCCCCACAACCAGACCCCCCCAAAAAAATATATATATTCTTACTATAAAAACCCTCTAATATTTGTTTAGAGCAATGAATATATCAATATCCGGATTAACCATTACATAATGTATACATGCATTGAAAAATCACATTGTATACCCCTCCAAATATGCAGCACTGTATTACACAAAAATAAAACAAAGCTAAAGAAAGAAAACTGGAGTGAGAAACACAGGGGTTCAAGGCTCATTTCTTTACTGCCAAGCTTTGAAGAGCTAGCTTTAATTAAGGACCTTCCCTATCCTTGGTTTGCTAATCCAGAGAATGAGAATAACATTTAGATAAAATGGGAGGGAGAGAATTGTATAAACTGTATTTTATAAACTATAAAACACTGTATAAAATGTACCTGTCTTATCTGTGAGTTGCAGGTAATAGGTAACCCAAACAGATGGGATCATGCTAGAGAGACGGCACCTGTACTTACAGCTCCAAAATCAGGATGTAGGAGGTGGGGGACTCGTAGGTGTCGTGGAGGGTCACGTACTGGGGGTGCTGCAGGTGCTGCAGCAGGGCAGCCTCGTGGGCAGCCTGTTCCTTCTTCTTCATTTTTTTGCTCACGAATTTCACAGCAACATCTTTGCGGGTAGCTTTGTGAATGCATTTCTTGACGATCGAAAATCGGCCCCTGGGAAATCAAAGGGAGGAAGTTTTCCAAGATTTATACCATGAGCTAGATCTCCTTTTAGCCAGAGATTTGTAAGGTTTTCTGTGACACAATAGACAGTAACATCTGACAGGTTGAGCATCCCTAATCCACAAGTCTCAAATCCAAAACACATCAAAATCTGAAACCTTTTGAGCACTTACATGACACCAGAGGTGGAAAGTTCCACACCTGTCTTCCTGTGAAGGGTCACAGTCACAATGCAGGTGCACTGAAAACATTATACCAAATTGCCTTCAGGCTATATGGGTAAGGCATGCATGACATACAAATAAATTTCATGTTTAAACTTGAGTCATGCTGGGCACCAGTGGCCCATACCTGTAATCCTAGCTCCTCAGGAGGCTGAGACCTGTGGTCACAATTTGAAGGCAGCTCAGGCAGACAACTCTGAGAGAATCTTCTCTCCAATTAACCAGAAAAAAGCTAGAAGTAGAACTGTGGCTCAAATGGTAGAAGCTAAGCAAGAATGTAGTCCTGAGTTCAAGCCCAGTACTAGCATATTCCCCTGAGATATCTCATCTTCCTATTTTTTTTGTCAGTTGAGAGGCTTGAACTCTGGGCCTGGGCACTGTCCCTCAGCTCTTCAGCTCAAGGCTAGAATTCTAACACTTGAGCCACAGTGCCACTTCTGGCTTTTTCTGCTTATGTGGTACTGAGGAATCGAACCCAGGGCCTCATGCATGCAAGGCAAGCACTCTACCACTGAGCCACCTTCCCAGTTCCCCTCCCCCCACCTAATTTTCCTTATATTGAGTAATTTTAGATTGCATCTTGAAAATTTTGATTATTATGCTGTGATATTCTGGGTTCTGTTAAAGCCTTCAGAAGAAGATTGACTCCGTTTATTTATATGTTTTCATCAGCAATAATGTGTTTAGATTCAGGCTCCAGGATCTCTCTTACGTCTACTGGAAGTGGTTCTGTTGCCAGAGCAGTTTTCAAAGTATTTTCTGAGCATTTAGGTCTGACTTTCATCAGCACTCCTCAAAGATTAGTTTGCAGCTAGTTCGTGAGTGCAAGGTGACTGAGCAGGAGTTTATGTAGCAATTGTCCTTACAGCTGTGAGAACTTGCAGAACTTGTAGTGGCCTTGGATTTGTTTATTTCATATATAGAATTAGGAGATCTCTTTCTTTTTTCTTTCTCCTCTTTGAGATCCCCCATCATTCTTTGGCTCACAAGGCCTCTTTGCATGCTTATCCAGCCAGAAAGATGGGAACGCTCAGTATTTAGTTTCCTGAATCATCATGCAACTTCATATGACTGCTTTTGGAGGGAAGAAAGCCCAAGCCTTCTCTGATATCTCCAGCCAAGGGAATCCCTTTTGCCAGGGTTTTAGCCAGAAAGGTGTGTGTGTGTGTGTGTGTGTGTGTGTGCACGCACGTGTGTGCACGCACGTGTGTGTTTGCTCTCTAGGAATGCTGAATACTTCTTTAAGTTGACTTACTCTTTGGACAAGGCTAAGGAAATAAAGGGGGAAGGGAGGAAGAGAGGAAGGGAGGAAGGGAGGGACCTCTTGTCACTGTGCTTGTCACTTTTCAGCCTCTCCAATCCCTTTATTACATTTCATAAGTCTCTGGCAGCTGCGTTCAGAATTTGTGGAGAGGCTGTAGTTATCATTAGTAGGAAACAAAGGGTATAGTGAGCGAGCGTCAGCTCACTATCTATCTTGGCTGGCATTGGGAGTTGGCTATTTAATTGGGAACTAAAAAGCTATTGGAAAGCTGTATATCTAGATGGAGCCTGCCACTTTCACTTTACTGTAGGGAGATCGGACTGGACTGTTAAGTTGGAAAACTCCGTAATCAGCAGTTAGTCCTTCTTCTAGGGCTGGTCAGTCTCTCTACAGGAGGAACTCCTTCCTGTGCAGTGAGGGAAGCTTGACTATTTCTGAAGGCCTGTTGGAGTCTAGAGCTGGACTTCCTAGATTCCAGTAGCCACATGTTCTCAACATGGTCTTGTTCTTGGTATGGTTCTAGCATACCTAACTGTGCCTGATGTCACTGAGAACAGAGGTGCTGTTGTTCCCTTTCTAGAAGGTAAACGACAGTCTTCTCTGGATGGTGAAGGACAATTCTACAGATGCCTGAAGCCTGCGAAAGAGCTGCAGCCACATTGTACCCCTTGGAATGCTGCCTGGCTGCCTATGTAGGATCCAAACAGGGAGCAGCAGTGCCAGGCCCCAAGTTAAGGCTGGCAGGCTGGACACAGACATCTATGGTCACTCCTTCCCGAGATACACTCATTCTCATTGATTTCCACCAGCCGTTCACATTTCAGCATCCGCTTTATACCTAATTCTGATTGTGCCGCTGCAACCTGAGCCTTCAGGGAACTGATTGCAAAGGTCACACTGCTGTCATGTGACCCTGCAACTCACTGGGCTGAGTTTTCTCAGGCAAGTCTCTTGGGGTCATGTGCCATCTGTTCTTCTGCTTCTAATCCTTTATTATTGTTTTTGCATCTAAGGTACCTGCTTGAAAATTCCTTTATTGTTGGTTTCATGAAATCCCAGGAAAGAGTCTTAACACATGCCTCCTTACATGGAGGCCTGGTGCTACCATCTTGGATCTAGTATAGACAACCAGTCAGCCTCTCAGTGATAACCACTGGATTCCTCAAACTGCAATAGTGCCCATATAGCTTACTTCTGCCTAAGTATGCCGTGTCCAAGGGTCTTTCGTTCTGAGGACATTTGGTAAAAGTTAAGACACTGCATAGTTTTTATATTTAATCACTAGAGAGCTCTTTTAACAGGGATAGCCACTTAGGCCCCAAGTTGTAGGTTTAGGTGTGTTAAAGAAGTTGACTCACTTTGATGACCCCAGCACAAATATCTTCCATGTGTCTCGTGTAAGAATTTTTTCATGCTGCTGAGAACTGGTAGTTCATGCTTCTAATCCTAGCGACTCAAGAGACTGAGGTCTGAGGATAGCAGTTCAAAGCTTTTCTGGGCAGAAAAGCTCAGAAGAATTAACCAGCAAAATGTTAGACTAGAGATATGGCTCTAGTAGTAGAGTACTAGCTGTGAGTGAAATAGCGGAGCAAGAATACAAGGCCCTGAGTTTAAGTCCTGGTACTGATACAAAAGACAAGAAGAATTTTGTTTTACTTCTATCCTGTTAATGTATAGCATCTTAAAAAGATCTTCTGGAAATATGAGGAGTATAACTGGGAGGGAAGAGAAGCTTCAGGCTATTGGAGATTTGCAAAAGAAAGACATTAATCACTGCAAACAAATCAGAAAATTCATCTTCCCTCTGAAAAATATCAAAACATCTGTTTGAGTGTGGTTCAAAGTTATCCCAGACAGAAAAATCCCTGAGACTCTTAGCCCCTTTCTCCAATTAATTACCAAAAAAACCTAGAGGTAGAGCTGTGGTTTAAATGGTAGGGCACTAACATTGAGCAAAAAAAGCTCAGAGATGGCACCCAGGCCCTGAGTTCAAGCTCGGGGACTGGCACAAGCAAGCAAACACATAAAGCATCTATTTGTTTTGGGTTCAAAAAAGCCTTAACCTATGACTATTGACAGCAAATATCTCAAGGAAGAATGAACTGGGGCCAGTGATGGAACTGACTTCCTGTACAGCCAGCAGGGGATTTGTCCATTATGGGGCTCAAACCTAGTGTCATAAATCTCAATGTAAGAGAGCAAACTAGATTTTGATGACTAGAACTTAACAATTGTGATGTGAAATATCTGCTGGAAATATATGTAGAACACATGTATTCAGAACACATACAGGCTGAGGAGCAGGTTTGAATCCTGGCCCCACACTTCCTACTTGTGGGACTGGAAGGAAATTGTTGAACTTCCAGGAGCCTGAGTTTCCCTTGCTGGAAATCCACTCAGATACCACTTAGCCATGTTTAAAGACTGGATTACATAACAGCTATGCACTCCCTAGAACACCATCGACACCACCACCACCACCACCACCACCACCATCAAAGTTTCCTTTGGCCTCTGTTTCTCTGTCTTTAAAGCAAGGTGCTATAGTGAGAGGCAGTGAATTATATTGTGACTTTTACCCAAGGAATAGAAATAATGAACATGTTGTCTTCCCCACAAAACCTCTGTCACCACCACCTCAGTCACAAATCTCCATGCTTCATGGGGAGATGTTGGCCAGGGATGGAGGTGGTAGTGACTCTTTTACATATCTGGGTGGGTGATGACTTTTAGGGTATCTATAGTTTCTTACTCAGGCCACCTGAGATCTATGCATGAACTAGGAGAACTTCATTCTTTTCCCTTTCTTCTCTTCGACCATTGTGCAGACAAGGTGTGTTAGTTTTTCAACACTGTCAAGCAACTTAAAGAGTTATTTTGACTCATAGTTTCAGAGGTTTCATGGATGACTGGCTCCATTGCTTTTCAGCTTATGGCAAGCAGAAAAACCATGGAGGAAGGGAAAATCAGGGAGTCAATATTATAAACGTAATTCTCTGGCCATAATGCCATTAAATTAGAGATCAGTAACAAAAGAAATTTTGACAATATCCTAGGCAAGTGGTAGAGCAGTTGACTCATATATGTGAAGAAGCCCTGAGTTCCACGCCCAGCACAAAAACCAAACCAAACTAAACCAAACAAACAGAAACAACCTCAAATTCAAATATTGAAAAAAAAATCTCAGACTTATTAAAGCAGTTTCTCATTATTAGTAGGTAAAAGAGAAAAAAATCATAGTTGAAGAAAAATACTTAGAACTGATGATAATGGAAATATCACTTATCAAAAATTGAGATATGTAGCTATAGTTATATTTTGAAGAAAAAATGGAGGCTAAACTTTTTTTGGTCAGTCCTGGGGCTTGAATTCAAAGCCTGGGTGCTGTCTCTACCACTTTATCACTTGAGCTACAGCTCCACTTCCAGTTTTCTAGTTGTTAAATGGAGATGAAATCTCATGGAATTTTCTGCCCAGGCTGGCTTTGAACAGCAGTCCTCTGATCTCAGCCTCCTGAGTAGATAGGATTACAGGCCTGAGCCACTAGCACCAGGCTAAGGCTTAACTTCTTACATTAGACAAGAATAAAGGCTGAGAGTTGCTAAAAAATTACATCTGAAGTAAAAAAAAAGAACAGTAGAGATACCCATAAATGTTTTAGTTACTTTCATATTATAGAGTATGTATGCATTTGGTAAGGGAAGGAAGGAAGGGGAGAGAGAGGAAGGAGAAAGAAAGGAAGAAAGGCAGGAAGGAAGGAAGGAGAGAGAGGAAGGAGAAAGAAAGGAAGAAAGGAAGGAAGGAAAGAAGAAAGGAAGGAAGGAAGGAAAGAAGGAAGAAAAGCAGGAAGGAAGGAAGGGAAAAGAAACAAAGAAAGAATCATAAGCGATTCCTCAGCAGTGATCTTGCTAGGTGTCCTTACCTGCCAATCTCATTCAGCTCAGTATAAGCAGAATCAAAATTTTCCTTCCAAGAAATGGTGGCCCCATCCGCAGCTGAATCTTTGGGAGAGAGAGTTCATTTAGGACATTGAGCATGCCACTTGAGACTAAAGAACAGGTTGACAGAGAAGCTCCAGCATTAACCCCAAGGCCATTCTCAAGACTAAATATGGAGGCTACTCAGTGGGAAAATGCCACAACTCTCTGGAATGTTATTTTTAAAATAGCATCCCAGGGATGTCAGGCTCTCTGTCATCTATTTAAACAAAGAGAAAATGTGGGACCATCAGAAATGTAGCTTCCAGATGTTTTAAAATAGAAATCTGGGAGAAATCATAAAGAAGGAGGCCTAAAAAACCCAAAAAACAAAAACAAAAAAATGCCAGTGAGTTTCAGAGCTGTAGAAGGATACAGAGAGAGGAGGGGAAAAGCTGCAAGTTCAAGGAAAGAGACAAGGAAAGGTGTGTGCTGTTTATAGGCTTGTCTCTCCCCTCTGCCCTTAGACTTGAAATTATATAGTATACTGGGTGATTTAATTAACCCATAACCTATGCCTGAATAGACTCTTTTGCAGCCAGTATTATCTTGTATGATGTGTTAATTTTCTGGCAATAATTTTTACACACACACACATGAACATTCATGCCAATATATATTTCTGTTGTCTACTGGGGGCCAAGGCTAGAAAGTTAGTGGTATGGAAAAACAGGATCCAAGTCAGTAGCTTTTCTGACCCCAAAGTCCCCTCGGCCTACCCAGAGCATGACCTGGTACCTTATTCATTTTGAATCCCAAGGACACAGAGACTCAGGGCCAAGATTTCCCAGTGAGTCATAGGCCTGTGGGAACAAGTTGAAGTCACAGGGAGGGAACTGACTGGGCTAGCTACAGGAGAGGGACTGGAGAGTAATTTCTGTGTCAGCTGAGGAAGGGGGTATAGCACAAGGTGCACATGCATGACAGTGCGTGTGCGTGTTCCATTATCCCTTTAGCCCAAGGTGCTATAAGCCTTTTGCCTTTTAAGTACAGCAACACCCCCAACTTCTCCTGTCCCCACATCTTTGCACTGCCTACAGTGTCACTATTTGCACATTTTTTTTAGGTTAGCAAGTTTCCTCTTTGCCACTATCCCTGGGACCAAGGTAAGGCAGTAAGCAAGGTGGACAACATATTTGTACAATATTCATGTTTTGCTAGTTACACATGAATGTTCCACCAAACCTGTATAACATATATCATATTAAAAAAAAACAGTTCTGAAGGGTAAGAAAGTACTACATTCATTTTGTAGTGAAATTCATCAGCAGGTTGCTCTACACATGTGAAGTGAGCTACGCGGAGCTGTCCAGGATGCTGTGGTAATGTCTCTGGCCTAGCAGGGATACCCAGAGGACAGCAGGCTTTGTATTCCTGTCTCAGAAGAGGGGTGGCTAGCAGCCTTGTCCCTCATGTGTCTTCCTGTCCCTCTGTGTTCCTGGAGACACACCAGGCGTCTTAAGATCAGGGCAGGTGAAGATGGCCAACCTAACATGTGTCCTGAGACACTTGGAGCTACACCTCATGCAAACACCATCAGGCCCCTAAAAGGAGGCTTGAGGGAGGCTTCGGAGAGATACAGGACACCTCCTCATGGGGATTGTGACATAGGACCACTTCTGGGGGTCCTGGGCTGGCTGGGACTTACCGTACTCTGGAAGTCGCACGAACTCTGAGGGTTCGCTGGGAAGGCTGATTCCCCACGGGTTGCTGGCACTGACTCTGAACTGATAAGGACAGCCAGGACTGAGGTCTTCAATGACGAGGTAAGTGTCCAAGGTGGAAGCGATGGACTGCTGCCAGACTTGGGAACCTAGTGCACAGTGCAGGGAGAGACAAAGCCAAGGACACAGCGTCTCTATCATTGATTGATATTAGTGTGAGGAGGGGGTCCTTGGGATTTGGTCACCTCTCAAACAAGTAGGTATGAGAGCAAACACATGCAGTGAACCCTGACTTTACAGAGAAACACATGACACACGAGATTAGGTAGGAACAACACGTAAATCAATAATAAGATGAGAGAAAATAGGTCCTGAAACAAAATGGACATGAACATATGTTGAGCACTGGCATACATGTGACAATGTGAAGGAAGGTTTCTTCATGATAATTCTGTCACTTACAGTCACTTACTTCACAGAAAGCTGAAGAGAAACACTAATTTTACTTTACAGATGAAGGGACAGAACTTTAGAAATACTGACTCATTTAGTCACTGAGATGAACTGTAGACCGCATACAGTGAACGAGAAACTCCATGCTCACCAGGGATACCCAAGGGCTAATCACTTAAGAAAGATGCCAAAATAAAGTTGTTTTTTTAAAAAATAATAATTGCACAAGTTCTGTTTAATAAAGAGAAAATGAAAGCAGAAATGAAATCCGAAGAGTAATAGAGTTAAATAAATAAATTTGACCGGGGGGGGGGGGTTAGAAGTTGCTTTTCATTCAATCATGCAATTCCGAAGATGGTTCAGAGATATAATAGCACAACAGAACTACCTAGAAGATGCTTTTTTTTAAATGTTTATTTTTTAATGCTGGTTCTGGGGCTCGAACTCAAGGTGTAGGTGCTATCCCTGAACTTTTGTGTTCAAAGCTAGAAGTCTATCATTTGAGCTACAGCTCCACTTCTGATTTTTTTTTTTTTGTCTGTTGTGGGTCTTGAACTCTGTCCACTTTTTATTTTTTGATGGTTAATTGAAGATAAGAATCTCACGAACTTTCCAGGCTGGCTCGAACTCTGAATCTCAGTTCTTAGCCTACTGAGCAGCTATGATTATAGGCATAAGCCACAGGTGTCTGGCTTTAGAAGCTGCTTTTAAAAACTGATTTCTAATAACTAGATGGTTGGTTCCATTTCTAACTCCTCAAAAAATGTACTTTTATCTTGTAAATGGTGAATTTAAAAATTTAACCTGTGTAATTAAAATATACATACTATACATATATATATATGTATATATATATGTATATATATATATATATATATATATATATATATATATATATATACATACTTAAAATATACATACATTTTATTTGGGAACAGAGGCAATAGATCTTTGGTTATACCACCGTAGTTTGTTCTGGGAAAAAGATCATAAATCAGCAGACTAGAGAGCTGGATTCTAGTGTTAGTTCTGCCTCTTACTAGCTGCAACCTTGTGTTTTTAAACTTTGTTTTAGGCCTCAGCCTTTTCATCTGTGGAGTGGGCCTGATGGTTGCTGTCTGGGTAACTGAGCCGTACAATGCAGCGAAGACACTGAAACCAGCCCTGGGTCTTGATGGTGTCAGGGAGGTTTGCAGCAGCTTAGGGAAAACAGCTGTCATCAGCAGGTCACTGCAGGCTGCTGGCCTGGAAGCATTATGTCGAGTTGGAGGACATAAGCAGGCAGAGCTTTAAAAGATACGGAGGCTCAGGCTTCTAACCCTGAAGACCTCCTGAGAGGAAGCAAAGCTAGAGAGCAGGGCTGTGCACCTTCCTCCCGGTACTCCACGGTGTAGCCGGAAATAGTGCAGTTCCCCGTGCTGGCCGGGGGCAGCCAGCGCAGAATGACCGAGGTACAGCTCCTCTCCTGAGCGATGGGGCGGTTGGGGGCTGCAGGAACACCTGCAAAGACAGATGGTAGAACTTAGCCTCTCCTCTGAAGGTGACCTAACCTGTCTCCCTCGTTGCCCAGGACCTCCCTGGAGAAGCACACTTTCGTCCAGACCCAAGGGAGGTGTGGGCAAGAGGCTCTGCTCCCTGCCTTCCTCAAGCTAAGTGTTGTACACCAGGGAGGAAGCCTGGTTAGACAGGCCACGCTAGGACATACACAGCTCTTAGCCAAGATGCATTCTCTTATTGGCTAGCCAAGAAGAACTCTGATTTGGAATTTCAAGTGGGTTCCTTTCTTCCCCAGGTCTCAGGGAACTCTGGTCATGCTCACTGAAAATGTGTGAACTATACATCTTGAGGGGGGGGTTAAGGGGGGAGGGAAAGTGGGAGAAAAATGAGGGAGGGGGTAACAAGTTGGATAAGAAATGTACTCACTACCTTATGTACGTAACTGTAACCCCTCTGTACATCACCTTGACAATTGAATTAAATTTTTTGAAAAATAGTGTGATTAACACATTTCTAGAGGTAGAAAATGGTAACAGCCAGGACAGGGGGAGGGAGGAATGAGGACTGGATGTTTAGTGGGTGTGGACAGGGGTTCACTTGGGGAAGATGAGAAGATCTAGCTGTGTATGGAGGACAGAAGGACAGACACAAGAGAGTCCTTGATGCCACTAGACTCTTCATGGTAAGTTTTATGTTGTGTTTTACCATCACTGTTATGTTTTATTTGTTTCTGTTGTGTTTTACTACAACCTAAAAAATGCTTAAAAATAGTCTATGTAGAACAGAAAGAGACCACACCTTGCACCTTCACCGTGGCAGACGTGGACGCGGTGCCGTGGTCGTTTGTGGCTATGCAGGTGTAAATCCCGCTGTCTTGGGGCATCAGATTGCAGATCTTCAGGGTGATCTCCCCAGAATCACTAGGAACACCAAACAGATGTCTTTCAGACTCCAGGAGTGAGATAATTGACTAGTAGGTAAAATGCTGTAGCGTTGGCTCCTGAGGTGCTGAGAGTCTGCAGGTAATCTTCCTCACACCTGACGTCAACACCTTGCCTCTACACTCCCATGTCCCTATAGGAGAGGGAGGGATTTCTGGCTGTGCCTGCCTTCCACCTTTTTGTAAATGAGGGATGAGATATTGAAAAACTGAGATAAAAATTAGAGCATGGCTTAAAATTTATAGAGTCCTTTATAACTACCAGTTCACACATTACATGGTGCCACCAGCAATTCTGTATTAAAATATTTTCAGTCCTCTATATCAATGAGAAATGGTAAATAATAAATAGTGAGAGTATTCAAGTATTTTATATCCTCATGAGGGACCTTCACAATAAGAAAATGAATTAAGAAAAAGTAAATTCCTGTGCCTAAATGAAAACATTCACCCTCCCTGGCCCCAGCATGGGGTCCAGAAACACCCCAAGGGAGAAACTGCTGTTAAATGGGAAGCCTAGCAACACCCACATTCTGGGCTTCTCATGATCCCCACTAGACATTCATAATCTCTCACAAAATCTTGGGCCCAGGGAGGGTTTTCTTTGTGTGTGTTGTGTGCCAATCCTGGGGCTTGAACTCAGGATCTGGGAACCATCTCTGAGCATGTTTTTTGTTTTTTGGATCCGGTCATGGGGCCTGAACTCTGGGCCTGGGCACTGTCCCTCAGCTCTTCAGCTCAAGGCTAGCGCTCTACCACTTGAGCCACAGTGCCACTTCCGGTTTTTTTTTTTTCTGCTTATGTGATGCTGAGGAATCGAACCCAGGGCCTCATGCATGCAGGCGCTCTACCACTGAGCCACCTTCCCAGCCCTCTGAGCATGTTTTAAGGCTTGTGCTCTACCACTTGAGCCACAGCTCCACTTTGGGCTTTGTATTGGTTAATTGCAGATGTCTCATTGACTTTCCTGCCTGGACTGGCTTCAAACCTTGATCTTCAGATCTTAATTCCTGAGTAGCTGGGATTACAGGTGTAAACCAGTGGTGCCTGGCTACTGACCTGGGAATACCAGGAATCTGGTATTCCTGAATCTGTGGGGAATACCAAGGAATGATGGTCTTTTCCATTTCACACATGCGCAAGTCAATGGGTTCAAGTTGCTTGATTCTAGGTGTCTCTTAATACGTGACTCTTGTGCTAGGGCTTGCTATTATTTCTCCGCTGTGAGCACTGATTCAGCGATGCTCATAATGAGCAGCAATAAAAGTTAACAGAAAGCCAAGCACTGTTGGCTCACACCTATATTCCTAGCTACTCAGGAGGCTGAGATCTGAGAATCATGGTTTGAAGCCAGCCTGGCAGGAAAGTCTATGACACTCTTATCTCCAATTAACCACCCAAAATTTAGAAGTGGAACTGGGGTTCAAGTGGTAGAGTGCTAGTTGAGCACAAAAGCTCAAGGATAACACCCAGGTCCTGAGTTCAAGCCCCAGACTGGCACATGCATGCAAGCCCCAGACTGGTGCGTGCATGCGCGTACGTGCGCATGCGCGCGCGCGCGCGCGCGCACACACACACACACACACACACACACACACACACACACACACACACAAACTTAACAGAATAAGGGGAGATAATCAACAGCCTTTTTGTGTAGAAGCATGTGTGGTTAGGTTTTCTTTCTTTTCTTTTTTGGTGGGTTAACAGTACTGGGGTTTGAACTGGGCTTTGTCTTCTCTGCATACTAGAGTCATGCCCATAGCTCTTTTGACTTTAGTTTTTCGAATAAGGGCTCAGGGTTATGACTGTGCCAACTGAGACAGTAATCCTCCCAGTCTTCCCATGTGGCAGTCACCACTTTCATTTTTATTTATTGGCCTTCAACTGTGATCCTTTGATCTCTGCCTCATAAGTATCTGGGATTATAGGTGTGAGCCACTATGCCCAGGGTCCAGCTTGCTTTTCTATTGCCCATTTCTTATAAAATAGTTTTTATGTAAAGGATGAAGTGTTCTTTTTAACTGTTTCAAGCATTCTAAAGGGCACAAGACCCAGCAGGATGTCCAGATCTGAGGACTATACTCCTATTAGGTCTGGAGCCTCCACGATTTATGACTAGGGGTTGTAGAAGATCTTTTAACATCTGGCTCAGGCTGGACTTGTAGTATCAAGGTTTATGATTTCCTTTGTTTACTGTGGGTCTAGCGTGTCATTGTTCCGGACAGTTCCTGTTGGCTCAAGTGTGATGATGTGGGGCTGGTGCGTGTAACTCAGAGGCTTGGGCTGAGAGGCTGCAGTGTGGGCAGTTGAGGCCCTGTCTACTGCACACACGCCAAGTCTTCTACTGTGTGGGGCTAGCTAAACTCCCCAAGGCTTTTTCACATCTCTCTCTTCATCAGGGCCCAGTGTTCAGTCTAGAATAGGAATCAGGCAGCTCCTCTAGTGAGAGACTAGTGATCCAAACAGAAGCCTCTGGAAGCTACAGGACCAGGTTGGGGTGATGGCTTACCAGGAGGAGACCGTGTATGTGGCTGAGCTGTTCTCTGAGTCAAGGATGTTCTGGTCTGGACCCTTCCAGGTTATAGTGGGCTTTGGCCGCCCGCACACTTTGCACTGTAGGACCACTGTGTCTCCAAGCAAGCAGGTCACATCCACTAAGGGCACAAGGAATTCTGGGGCCACTGTGGTCAAAATGACATAATTTACATGAATCACAACGAGCTTAGAATAAAGCAGCCAGTACTGGCATCCTTACCCACGTGTGGAGCAATTCAGGTAATCTTCAGCCTAACACCATAGTATCATCTGTGTCCTTTTAAGTAATCATTGTGTGTTGTTTAAAAATTAGGGAACTCCACTAAACCCCACTAAACTGGTGCCAGTGGCTCCGGCCTGTAACTCTATCTATTCAGGAGGCTGAGATCTGAGAATCATGGTTGGAAGCCAACCCAGGCAGAAAAGTCAGTGAGACTCTTATCTGCAATTAACCACTAAAAAGCCAAAAATGGATCAGATGGTAGAGCACTAGCCGAGAGGGGGGAAGGGGGAAAGGGAGAAGGAGATTGGAGAGAGAAAACCAATGTGAAGGTTGTCATGTTGTCTTTAGTCTTTATATAAACATGAGTATCCCCTTATATCCACAAATTGCTTAGTTTTTCCCTTAACTCCAGATATAGCATCAATTATTTAGCCAATCCCAGTGATCCCAGTTCTACTTCTTTTCCACTTACCTTCTTGAATGAAATTTGGATTTAAGATCTGAAAAACACAAAGAAACAGAGAGATCGCTTGAATCCCAAGCTACTAAGAGAGAATAAGAGAGTTTTGCTCTACTGAAAAAGAATTAAAAAGGAAAGTCTCAGGGAGGTGACACCAGGAGATCACCCTGTTCTTGTTCTGTGGTGAACTAACAGACACTGTTAGAGGCTCTGGAACCCCAGTGGGCATCTGGTTCCTTTCCTGTCTAATCTAGTCACCTGGACAGGTTTGTGGCTGTCGGCATCAATGATCACCACAGTGGCCATTTCCACCTCCCTCCTCTCCATTGCCCTTCTTCCCTTCACATGCACAACCCCATCCCTCTTGCTATCAAGCAAGGCCATGACACCAGTTCCTCACAGGTACAGACTTTTAAAAACAGAGGATCTCAGACCTGTCAAACAGAGTCACTGAAACCAACGCCCAGTGGTTTCCTTCCAAATGCCTTCCCTCTACCCTTCCCAGTTTCCAAGAAGAGGAAACTTCCCTTCCCATGCAGAGCTTCTCTGTTTGAAGAGAAAAGAGAGGCTCTCTCTCTTCATTCAATGTCAGTTCAACCTCTGTGGCCCGGGCCTCACCCTTTGACCCATTGTACTGCATAGGAGAACAGAGACTTGTATGTACAAGATAACTTCCTGTTACCATGGCTGCTTCTAGGAGCAGTTGAAACTCTCTGTGTATACTGTGCTGCTCAAGACACCCCAGTTCTTCCACTGACTGCTAGCCATTTTGGAATGTACCCTTCCTAAGAGGAGGGTCACTTTGACCCACCTCCATCTTTTGTGTCTGGCATGGTGGAAATGCTGCTTTGCAGTCAAGAGGCCAGGGTCACCTGTTTGTGTAATGTGATTTCATACTCACTACTTATCATCAATTAACATCCATTTCTTCCTCTCTCATTGAGGAGTAATAACACCTAGTGCAATCAATGTGTTATCACAAAGATTCGATGAACTCATGTGTGTCGAGTGCATGATTCTTGCCAAGTAGTGCGTGATAAAAATGAACTCAAATAAAGATCATCATATTCTAATCATCTCCCTTCTGCTAAATAGCCTATTGTTCAAGTGGTTCACCTCAATGAGTTTATCTTGCAATTTCTTCTTTCCTTCCCAAATTCGCATGCTGTAGAGAATAGTGCAGGTGGAGTCCTCACACTGACTTCCCCCCCCCCCCCATATTGGTCCTCTGTTTGGAACATTTCCTTCCTTGGGTTCTTCTTGGCAAACTACCTGCCCACTTATAACACTTAGGCTTTTCATGAAGTGGGCTGAACAAACCCTGGCCAACTGTCCCAACCCCCGGGCACCACAGTGCCCTCTGTATTTCCCTTATGGTGGGGAGCCACAAGACACTGAATCCATGCCGGGAGTCTCACAGAGGAGACAAATGACAGAGAGACAAGTAGCAGGTTCATAGATTCTGCAGAGTGTGTGTGTGTGTGTGTGTTGAATCCAGGACTACATCCATGCTAAGCAAGTGCTATACCACCAACTTAAAAGTCCTAGTCTCTAATGATAAAATTTTAGGCGGAGCTGCAAAAACCTGTGCTGTGGCAATATCTATCTAAGAAAACACCCATACTCCCTCATTATATATAACCTTAACTCTAAGGAAAATTATTGAGTACATACAGTATTTAAGAAGCCACTTACAGTATAATTTAAGCTTACTCAGGAGGCTGAGATCTGAGGATTTCCATTTGAAACTAGCCTGGACAGGCAAGTCCAAGATGTCCCTCTCCCCCTTTTTTTCAAGATTATATATATTTTTTCCCAATAAACTCTTATCTCCAATAAACCTGCAAAAAGCTGCAAGTGTTGCTGTGGCTCAAGTGATAAAGCACCAGCCTTGAGCAAAAATACCAAGTGAGAGTTCACACTCTAGGACTGGAAGGAATAAATATTCCTAATTAGTAGTGGGGGTTCTAGGGAGACAGATGTTCAATAGGTTTAGCTACAGGGTTTCCATCTAAAATAGACTTATGGAAACATCAGTCTTACCTTCTCTGCCTCTTGGCTGGCCCCTTATTATTTTTAAGAATGGCTCTAACATCTGTGTAACATTATAAAAGTGTGTAAACTCACAAACACCATCATCAGATCTTCTAAACCTCTAGAGGGCATATTGAGTCCTGAACCAGAGTTCATTATCTCCACCTCCTAGACCAGGCTGAGAAGTGAGTTGGAAGGTCCTAGAGAGACAGAGGACTGGAGCAGGCACCTCTGCTCTCTATCACAGCAGTCAGTGCAGCTGGAGGGGCTTGCAAACCCCGGGATTGATGTCAAAGGCCCACCTGTTCAGCCTCATTTCCCACTTCCTCTCCATCCCACAAGAAATCTTCCAGGTCCTCTTTAAACTCTACCTGCAAGGACCAAGAGCCTGGGTAAGATCCATGTAAATGCTTTTTCTGACTGTAGATTCATTTCTCATTTTCTTTTTTCTACTTTGGGGCACATCAGAGTTCAGAGGGAGTCACCAAGGCCTCTTCCCACAGTCATCTGATTACCTATGTATATGTTTATGGATCATCAAGACACGGGACATAATTGCTTTGTTCTGCTATTATTTTCAAGCCTAGTACAGAACCTACAATATAAGTGCTCCATTTTCAAAATAGTGAAAAATTAAGATGGTAATAGGATTCCAAATTTGGGGAGGGAGTTGAGAAAATGTCTTGCATGACCTTGGAACTGGGAACATGATTTCCTCTGAAATCCCATTGGTTAGTCATTGAGATTCAGCCAATAGAGATTCTTCCTCTTGTGTGCTTTTTTAAAAGTCAGGATGTTGAGGGCTGTGGTCACAAGCTGCCAAGTATCATAACATCTTATCTATATTACATATGAGCTAGCAGACTTGGGCACCCTTCGAAGACACCAAGCCTTTCACATGCTTTTAGAACCATCAACCTGATCACTCATAGGGTTTAAGGAAGCATCTTGCACATAGCAGATTTTTTTTCCCGTCCATTGTGGAGCTTGAGCTCTGGTCCTGGACACTGTCCCTGAGTTCTTCAGCTCAAGGCAAGCATTCTACCACTTGAGCCACTTCCAGTTTGGGGTAGTTAATTGGAGATAAGAGTTTCATGGGCCTTCCTGCCTGGGCTGGCTTTGAACAACAATCCACAGATCTCAGCCTCCTGAGTAGCTAGGATTACAGGTGTGAGCCACTGGTTCCTGGCTAACACATAGCAGATTGTTGTTGAAGGGCATTCATTTAATGGACTAGAATTCAACCTCCAGGTCACCTTGTCTGGTGGCAGGTTGTTGATATGTTTAAGGACATTAGGCATTTATGATATATCTCATATGTTTCTTGAAGTCGAATGTTTTCCTTAGAAACTGGTGAAAATGGGCAGCAGAAGAAAACTATAATCTGACATACAGTCATGGAGGAAATGATCCTCTTCATATAAAATACACACTTTTTTTCTCTAGAGACACAGGAGAACAAGAGATGGTAGGGACTGTGGGGAGTACTAAGGGATTTGATTTGATATTTTGTGTGTAGTTCAGGGTCTAGACGCTGTCCCTGAGCTATTTTGGTCAAGATTAGCACTTTCCCACTTGAGTCACAGCTCTACTTCCAGGTTTTTGATGGCTAACTGGGGATAAGAATCTTAAAACTTCTTTTCTGGGGCTGGCTTTGAATCCCAATCCTCAGATCTCAGCCCCCTGAGTAGCTAGGATTACAGGTGTGACCCACCAGTGCCCAGCTGGGATTCTGGCTTTATTTGAACAGCAGAGGGCAGTAGGCAGCTGGGCTTCCTCTAAGAACTAACCAACATCAACAGTTTCTTTTAGAGATAAAGCCAACTGTTTTCTTGATTTTTCCCTAAACTGGGATGGCAAAGAAGTAAGAAATTTTAATTTTACAAGTAAAATCAATCTGCACTGAATAACAAAAACTGAGTTTGAGACAGTCTTGAGTTTATTTTTCTTGCCAGTCTAAGGCTCTGACTCCAAAATAAATAGGGCAAAGTTCAATGTAGGAGGAAAAAAGTTGAGGCCAGTATGGACTACCTAGTGAGACTTTGTCTCTAAACATAAGAATAAAACAGTATAAAAATTGTATCTAGAAAGCTAGTTGTCAACTGACAAGAAGAAAAATGATCTGACTCCATTTTTGCTAAATCTCTTATCATTCAATCATAAAACATAGTTCAAAACCACATACTGAAACTGTTGAAGTCTTAAAAATGGTTCAATGTAACTCGAACAAAATGTCTTAAACTTGACCAAAGCTATTTGAATGAACCGGTTTGTATACTCTGCTTTTTCTAGTCCTTTAATGCTTGTTTCATGAGAATCTGTGCAGAGTGGGAAGGAAAGGGGTTTTAGGTGATGAGCTTTGGCCAGAAAATAAACAAAAATGCACAAAAGTATGAATAAAATCATTCTGGGTAGTGATGTAGCTCAGTGCAGAGGGCTTACCTAACATCCTCAAGGCTCTGAGTTCAAGATCCTCAGCACTGCCATTAAAAAATTCTAAATACTTTGTTATGACATTTTTCTTTTGTTGTGCTAGGGTTAGGTATAGTTTCTGATTTGGACATTTAATCCTTCTTGATTTCAATCTGGCTACCAGAATTTCTTCCTTCCTTCCTTCCTTCCTTCCTTCCTTCCTTCCTTCCTTCCTTCCTTCCTTCCTTCCTTCCTTCCTTCCTTCTTTCCTTCCTTCCTTCCTTCCTTCCTTCCTTCCTTCCTTCCTTCCTTCCTTCCTTCCTTTCTTCCTTCCTTCCTTTCATTTTGTGCTGATACTAGGGCTTTAACTCAGGGCCCAGGCATTGCCTCTTAGCTTTTTTTTGCTCAAGATTGGTGATCTACCCTTGTGCCACAGCTCCACTTCTGGCTTTTGCTGTTTAATTGGAGATAAGAGTCTCACAAACTTTCTTGCCTGGGCTGACAGGGAACTTCAATCCTTAGATCTCAGTCTTCTGAGTAGCTAGGATTACAGGTGTAAGCCATTGGCACTTGGCCAGAAACAATTTTCTAAAG